TCCCGCACGCCCACCCCGAGCGACTCCTACAGCGGGGACCCCCCGCTGCTGCCCTACCCCGGCGAGTACTATGAGGCAGACCCCCGGGCGCTGGCGTACCAGACGGTGCCCGTGCCAGCCTCTCGGGAATTCAGGGAGTACCCCGACAGGGGCTGCATGACCTTTTCGGCACCCGGCGTCCCAGCCAAGTTTTTCTACGCAGAGGAGTCAGCGCGGTGCCCCAGCCCTGCCGTGCCCCTCCGCAGCTCTGGCTATGCCAGTTACCCCTACCCCAGCCGCCACGCCGTGCCCCAGCCCTTCTACCCCGAGGAGCCGGCCAAGGCTGCTGTCCACACGATGCCGCCCCGGACATTGTACGTGGAGGAGGCGCGGAGTTACCCGGTGCAGGAGGCACCTGCCCGCACCTTCTATGGGGATGAGCCCCGCTACTACGCCCCGCGTGGGACCCCTGTCAAGACCCTCTATGCCGAGGACGCTCGTACATACCCGGCCCTGGGCTCCGCCGCCCGGCTGTTCTATGCCGAGGACTACGGGAAGTACCGGGAGCGGGAGGTGATGTCGCGGACGTGTCCCCCGCCCCGCAGCGCTCAGGCCCTGCACTTCGGGGACTGGTACTGCCCCGAGCGGGCCACGCTGCCCTACCAGAGCCTGCAATTGTCACGCTTCACCCCGCAGCCGGCCGGGCGCGAGGCCATGTTCTCCTCCTGGCACGCCAGCTACGGCATGACTCCAGCACGGCTGGGCCGGGAGAGCCAGCACTACTCCAAATCCTGGGATAACATCCTGGCGCCAGCGGCGCGCAGGGAGGAGGCCCTGCAGCGTGGGCGCAGCTACGAGAACCTGCTCACCCACGAACAGCACCGTGCCTTATCCCCCGAGGAGCGCCGGCAACCTGTGGTGATCAACCTGTCGAGCTCGCCCAAGCGCTACGCGGCCCTGTCCCTCTCGGAGAGCTCTATCCTCGAGAGGGTGCACGCCGACGGCAGCCGCGGGCCCCCGGGCCACTCCTGGTACGTCACGCCGGAGATCACCATCACCGACAAC